TCAGATCAATTAAATGGCAAGGATGGGATGTCTAAACTTGATTTTGTTCTGATTTTCATTTCTAATTTTGATCAGAGCAAACGATCTCGATCAGGCATGGTCTAGTGTACTCCAATTTAACAGCTTTGAATTTTTTCCACGAAGGCTCACCTTGCCCATTAATTGTGCCGTTGTTACCTTAAAACAAATTAAAAGAGAGCCCAACTCTTAAGCATGCCAAATTGCACAATTAATTGGGGGCTTATTTATTATTATTGTATTTTTTTAGCAATCAAGGTGTTTTCAGACCACTTTGGTTAAGCTATTTTAAAATTACTTTACACATATTTTGAAATTAATCTTTTTTCAATTTTATCAAAAATCAGTTATATGTGCCGAAATTAAAAAATTTATAAGGAATTACTTCCACATTAACTTCCTTAAAGAATCGAATATTGGTTAATAAAATAAAGAAACAAACTTCTTTATCAATTAAATTATCACAACTCTTTGAGCTAGGTTATTTTTGAGAATCAGTGAACGACATAGCTCAAAGAGTTGTGGTAACTTAATTGATAAAAAAATTTGTTTCTTATCTTGTTAATTAATATTTGATTTTTTAAGGAAGTTAATATAGAAATAATCTCTTATAAATTTTTTAATTTTGATGTGAATGATCTGTTTTTGATAGGATTGAAAAAAATTAATCTCAGAATATCTATAGAGGTTTAAAAACATTTTAACTGCTAATAATAATAATAATAATAAATAAGCTCCAATTGTGCAATTTGGCATGCTTAAGAGCTGGGCTCCCTTTTTATTTGTATTAAGGTAACAACGGCACAATTAATGGGCAAGGTGTGCCTTCGTGGAAAAATTTCAAAGCTGTTACATCGGAGTACACTACACTATGCCTGATTGAGATCGTTTTCTCTGATCAAATCAGAAATGAAAATCAGAACAAAATCAAATTTAGACATCCCATCCTTGCCACTTAATTGATCTGAATAAAGTAACTGTTTCTCACTTTCTCTACATGTGTAATATAATTCATTCTTAGGGGCTAAAGCCCCTCCAATGGAAAAACCAAAAAAACTTTCAGGACAGTACAAAATTCAGTAGGTAGGTATGGATCTTCAATCGACCTTTTTTTTTTTCTTGTTGGCTCTGTATCAACTTGAATGGAACACCTCTTACTTGTTACATGAGAAACTCCATGGATGCAGGTCCATAGCATTTCTATCGGAAGCAAAGATGCTCAATGGCACCGTGTTTTAGACGTTTCTTTATTGGGTGCAACTTGATTTCGTAAAGCTTTGGCCATAGCTTTCCAGTCACTACAAACAAACTAGGGCTTAGTAACATGCACATTGCATAGAGGAAAATAGCTAATAAGCATAACATATGTTGCAATATAACAATAGAAATTGATAATATTAATGGTACATCAGATTCTGGTGAACCTCACCAAAAATGCGCTTGTTGTCACCATCGCATGCGATTCCATTCAAAACATCAATGCTCTACAACATAGTGAAATGTGACAACATAAGAATTAGGTAAGGAAGCTAAAGGAACTACGAACATCATAAGTATTTTATCATAGAAAAACGAAAAAGATGGGGTAAAGCATTTACAACCCATCATAGCGGGCGAGAATAAGATAGAGACTGTATTACCTAAAGCAGTATTTACAAAGGCAAAGCTATTTTCTCAAACTCCCAACCCAAACTCAAAAGAAACAAACAAACTGAAAAGCATGCACTTAAACACAAACAGATAAATCTAGACATGTGTCTTTGGATTTAGATGCTTACATTGTAACCAGCTGCCATCAATCCTTGTCTGTAAAACAATAAAAGAAAAAAATTAAACAGCTAAAATAAAAAAAGTTGAAATGATTATGTTGTTGAAATATATTAGACAAATAAAAAAGAGAAGCAAGACCTTAGACTCGGAAGGAGAATCCATCCCAGCACAGTACCACTTTCAGGCGAGATTCTAGCAATGCAGTCACTCTATATAGAAACACAATTGGACTAAATTAGTTAAGTCACGCATTAATCTTTTGAGTAACAAATTTCTTTACATACATAAAGCAAAGTACAAATGAAACTATTTGTGTACTACGGGAGTACTGTTTTTGGCATGCTAGCTCGGTGTTTAAAAGTAAAGAAAGAAGAAAGTGCTCTAAAGAGGTTTGCCATCATACAAAAAAAGAACATGACTAAATCTCCTAAGAAACAACATCCATCAACAACAGAATACCAGAGTTATGAATTTGGTAAATACAAAATAGATTATACCTGAAAAACATTTGCCCAGACCTCACCATTTATGTATTCCAATTCATTGAGGTAACGCACATTATTACCATTGTATTTGACGTCATGTTTTCCCATGACTGCATTGAGGAACAGAACAATTTCAACAGTAATGCAAGCAGATTTCTTCCTTGGAAAGCTAACTTAGGATAATAGTAAAAGTTTTACTAATTGACCATATTTAAGGAGAAAAAAGAGTTCTAGAAAGAGGGTGGAAAAAAAGGAGGGCGCTAGCATTTAGTCATTTACTACCAGATGTTGAAGCTCATACTACCAGTTGAGATGATCACAGATAACTTTTGGAATTGAAACCAACAGGTGAAGAAAAAAGGCCCAATTAAATAGACGAAAGAGAACTGATACTAACTATTGTATAAAGTAGAAACCTTTCAATGTTTCAGGGTCAATCTGATACAGAGTTGAAGTACCATCACTTCCATACAAGATTTTTCCATCAGTTGCCAGTCCCCAACCATCTTGCATCTGATGAGTGAATAGCTTCAACTGCACCCATTATAGGAAGATAAAAGCATTGTTATGGATCCAGCTTTAAAACATAAATGAAACACAGAAAGAATGCACTTCAATCCAAAAGAGCAGCCACAGTGAAATGCAATTGGATGGAAAGTTGGCTGATCAAAAAAAAAAAAAAAGAATGAAAAAAATGGGTTAATCCCTATTCAATATCACTACAGGATCTAAAGATCCCTCAAACAAAGCTGCAGAACATTAAGTAGCCATTACAAACAAAAACATTACAGTGTGCAGCTAATCTACATATCTGCTAACTGTTTCTGCCCATATGTTGTAAACTAAGAAAATTAAATAAACAGGAAAAAAGAAAACCTTCAATAAGAAGACAATGTTTCAGCCTTGGCATTAATACAGAAGCAGAAGAATAGAAATACATCCAAATGCCTTACAGAGCAACTTATAGAACTATTCCTGTTGGGGTGTTCATATCATGTTTTACCAAATTCATGAAAATACAAGTAAAAAAAATAAGAGGGAAAGCAGTGGAAGAACAAACTTTCTGCAAATTATTCCGGTCATATATGAAACCAGTTTGCAGTAACCAAGTTACTTGGAACAACCTACAAAAGAACATAAAGAATACCAAATCAATAGGGTTAATTGTTCCATGTTTATATTGTTGTTTCACATATAAAACAAGCAAATGACAAAATTGAATTAACTAATACCACAGGAATAAGAAAGGGAAACAAAAGCCAGATGGAGAGCACAAGCATTCATTGGCAGGCCTATACATGCATAGCAGTCTACTAAACCAAAAGATAATTTCCACAACCTTAAAATCAAGTACCACATGTTGGGATAGAGGGAATTGAGGGGAAAGGAAAGGAAACAATTTCCCTCCAATTAGATGAAAGAGAGGTCTTATCTACTTCATTTATTTGGAGTAAAATTGTACCCTCTCCTTTCCTTTCCCTTCATTTCTCTCAATCCAAACATGGAATATGATGGTACGTCCTTTAAACTCAGAAATAGCCAATGTACTTTTGCGAGTGAACAGATGTCTGTTGGAACAATATGATGGGCAACAAGAATTAAATGGGAAAAAAGAAAAGAAAAAGATGAACTCTTTCTTTTGCATGAACAATAGAACCAAAGTACAGTTGCTGTATTTCTCCTCACAAACCTTTCACCAAGAAGAGTTAAACCCTCCCCAAAGTATGAATCATCCATCTTCTCAATATGCTCAACCTGTTTACCAAAAAAATGTTAGAAAGTAACAATTTTGCAATTCAAATAACCCAATTTGTTGGATTTAATTTTAAGCACTGTGATATTTCAATCAATCATCAGTTAAAAAGGCAATTGGTTAATCCATTAAGGTGAGATAGCTGACAGCTGATTTCAAACCAATTTAACCCTAACCATACTGCATCCATTGATGAAGATCATTATAAGTAGTTTGACTTCCACTAAAACATGATTAAAGTTTGAATCAGATCAATAATATGAAAGAAATTTGAATAAGTGTCAAATGCTCATGTAAAATCCAAACAAGAGGATACCTTCCCTGTCTGAAGAGCCACTTTACGGACTGACGACTGAAAGAGTAAGATGAAGTAGCATGTTAGGAAATGAAATACAAAACATACACATATCAATATTATGCTGCCTACTATTAAAACCACATATCCGTTAGATGACAATGAGACTAATGCTGATTTATTTGCTGATGAAACATGACAATGTCACCCAAACCAGCATTTCAAAACCCACATGGTAACTATCCCCAAATTAGATATTGAACAAACAGAGAGCTCGAATAATAAACAGAAGAACTAAAAAAGCAGGACTAATTTATATTGATCACTGAGAATACTACTTTCAAAGGTATGAAAGAAGAAAAACATAATTACCCAAAATAGTATTAACTATAATTCAATGGAAGAGAATTTGAACTCACATGCCCGTAAAGCCCAGTTGACTCAAACAGGGTATCATTTCCTGCATACAGAAGTCCCTGAAAGCAAACAACATCCATTAGTCCAAATTATATTTAAAATTCACAATTTTCATCGATTCTAAGCTTAGGGGGTACACTTTAGTTTAGCTTTCATCTGGGTCCTCAGGCCAGGCTACAGAACAAAATTGAAAGACGGACCATTCAAATGGACGCAAAAAAATATAGTAAAAGGCTAGATAAGATAGACATATTGAGAAATCAGAATCAAATTGGTAATATTATTAGATGGGAATTTACCTGAGTGAAGGCGTCGGGGTCGTGAGGAAACTCATTGACAACTTCAAATTCGTAAATTTTAGGGGAGCGATCGTCGTATACGAACTCGCTCCAGAAGTTCGACGAGAAGCTGAAAAGGAAAACGCCGGAAATAAACAGGACGACTGGGATCAACAATGCGAACTTTCCACGGTTGAAGGGAGGAGAGAGAGGAGGTGCCATTGGAATGTTGGGCTTGGAGCTGGATCGCTTACTGTTAGGCCTCTTCCTAAGCAATTTAGCTGTCGGAGCCATAATCGGAAGGTCTCATCGGTGTACGGAATGGGAACGAGAAGGAGATGGGAGTAGGTGAATGGGTGCAAAATTGCAAATTGATGGTGTTTCCGCCGTCGTCTGTTGAATTGACGACTAATTGCCGTTGAGTCCTTTACTTTGGATTTGAAGGGTTCAACTACTTAGAGTTAGATACTCCCAGCAATCAGATTCAACACAATATAAATATTGAAAAAAAAGGAAAAAAAAAAAAAAAACTGTCTTTTACTTTGTAATTAAAACAATATTAAACTAACGAGGGATTGGATCAACTAGTAAACCGTTTATTCTAATTTAAGTAAATTCTCGAGTTTCAGTATGCAGCAGTCCCCACTGGTAGGCTCACCCACCATTTTCAGGTGCGTGACGTAGATCAGGTTCGGATTACTCGGGCTGAAACTTCGGATACCGAGCGGGAAATAAAAAAAAAATTATATTAAATTATAAAATAAAATTTTATTTTATATTTTGATATAGTTAAAATTATAAAATAATTTTTTTTAAATACATACAAAATAGTTTTTCAAAAACAAAATAAAAAATACAGTAAAATATGTTCAAATTAAATCTTCCTTTATTAGAATTTCTAGCCGATATTTTTTACACATGACTGTACCTAAAAATATAAAATTTTAGTCAATTTTAATTAACATTTTTGTATATTTTTGTATATTTTAGTTAATATTTTATATATTTATAATAAAAAGATAAAAAAAAAACCTATTACTACATCATTGGATAGACATAGTGCCAGACATTTGATTCGGATTTTCGAAACCAAACTAAAATTTTAGTTATCTAAAATAATTTTGGATAAAATTTTTATATCTAATTCAAACTAAATTTTTAGTTTGGTTGTAATTTCAATTATCAGAAATTATTTGAATAATTTAATGTATTAATTAAAATAACCAAAATATATCATTATTTTTCACTTTTTGTTATTAAAAACTCTTTTAAATTTTTTTTTATTATTTCTAATCTTTTTTTTTTTCATATTCCTATATATAAATTTGATTAAAAAAAAAGAATTTTGTCCCAAAAAATTTTTATAGTACAAAAACTAAAAGAAAAAATAAAATAAATATATGCTAAAATTTTTGAATAATTTAGTAACTCATATCCATTATTTTATATATGAGTCAATAATTATATCTAAACCAAAATTAATTTTAATCGTTTTAATTTTATTTAAATATCTAAAATATTCGACAAAAAATTTTAAAATTAATAAAAAAATTCAAATAATTTAATAATATATCCGAAATGTGTGATTTACAGCCGAACCAAGCCTAAGCAAGACAAGACAAGTCATAGACTAGATGGAAAACGGGTTGGGCCAAACCAATCATGGCCTAGGATCTCTGTCAAACAAGGCCTTGGACCAATCAACAGTCTTGGGCCCCAGGAAGCAGTATAGCAGTAGAACTGAGGCCTCAGCCATAGAATACATCAACGGTCGGTTGAGAGGAACATCCTAGACTTCTTTAATTGGCCCAACCCTCACGAATCCCAATAAAACGACTTCGTTCCATAGAATAATCCAGAACCCCGCGCATCACCGCCTTCGTTCCATAGAATAATCCAGAACCCCGCGCTTCACCGCTTTCCCCTCTCAATTTTTTTTCGGAAAAAAAGAAGGTACTTTTTTTTTTTGAAAATAGGTAATAAGAAGGTACTAGATCCTCTGCCTTCCGTTTAACTTTAAATACACACAATTCTCCACCCTGATATCAGACTAATATTTTTCTTAAGCAAAGCATCGTTGCTTTATTTTTTTTTTCGTTTCGCTTCGATTCTCTTTTGTTCGTGCGATCGGTAATGGCAGACGTGCAGATGGCTGATGCAGAGACCTTCGCCTTTCAGGCGGAGATCAACCAACTTCTGAGTTTGATCATCAACACCTTCTACAGCAACAAGGAGATTTTCCTTCGTGAACTCATCAGCAACGCCTCTGATGTAAGTACAATTCGTCTGTATCCCTGTTCTGATTCTCGGTTGCGTATTCTCCTGATTCTTTTGATTTCTGTTTGGTTCTTGGATGATTACTGTTCGAAGATTATAAAACTAATCAATCGGATCAGAACCGGAAAGTAGCTGTAATTGTTTGATGTCTGCCGGATTGTTTTTTCGTAGTTTGTTTTTTCGCTTGTAATTATGCAGTATGTAGTGTTGTTTTAGTGATTCTCGTAGATGAGAAGAATATTTCGTAGTTTGAATTTGAGGTTTGATAGTTTTGGTTGTGGATGTTTGTGTAGGCATTGGACAAAATCCGATTCGAGAGCTTGACTGACAAGAGCAAGTTAGAGGGTCAGCCGGAGTTCTTTATTAGGCTTGTTCCCGACAAAGTTAACAAGACCCTCTCCATCATTGACAGTGGTATTGGCATGACAAAAGCAGGTAGAGTCTGGCGCAATTGTTTTGATTGTTTAATTTGATTGCTATTTGGTTTTAAATGGTTATGCAATAACTTTGGTGCATTGGTTTTTTGTCTCATAGATTTGGTGAACAACCTTGGTACCATTGCAAGGTCTGGAACCAAGGAATTTATGGAAGCATTGCAAGCCGGGGCTGATGTGAGCATGATTGGTCAATTCGGGGTTGGTTTCTACTCGGCTTATCTTGTTGCTGAGAAGGTCATTGTGACGACAAAGCATAATGATGACGAGCAGTACATCTGGGAATCCCAAGCTGGTGGTTCTTTCACTGTTACTAGGGATGTCAACGGGGAGCAACTTGGAAGGGGTACTAAAATTACCCTTTTCATGAAGGAGGATCAGGTAGTTAACCACCCTTATCTTGTTAGTTCTTTAATGTCGATTTTTTTTTTTTTTTTAAATCCGTTGCTCATTGCTGTTGTAATTAATTTATGCAGCTTGAGTACTTGGAAGAAAGGAGGATTAAGGACCTTGTGAAGAAGCACTCTGAGTTCATTAGCTACCCAATTTATCTCTGGACTGAGAAAACAACTGAGAAGGAGATCAGTGATGATGAAGAAGATGAGCCCAAGAAAGAGGAGGAAGGGGATGTTGAGGAGGTTGACGAGGAGAAGGAAACGAAATCCAAGAAGAAAAAGATTAAGGAGGTGTCACACGAGTGGCAACTCATCAACAAACAGAAGCCCATCTGGTTGCGCAAGCCAGAGGAGATCACCAAGGAGGAATATGCCTCATTTTACAAGAGTTTGACCAACGACTGGGAGGAGCACCTTGCTGTTAAGCACTTCTCTGTTGAAGGTCAGCTTGAGTTCAAGGCTATTCTCTTTGTTCCAAAGAGGGCTCCATTTGATCTGTTTGACACCAGGAAGAAGATGAATAACATCAAGCTCTATGTCAGGAGAGTGTTCATTATGGATAACTGTGAAGAACTCATTCCTGAGTACCTCGGTTTTGTCAAGGGCGTTGTTGATTCTGATGACTTGCCACTCAATATCTCTCGTGAGATGCTGCAACAGAACAAGATCTTGAAGGTGATCAGGAAGAACCTTGTGAAGAAATGCATTGAGATGTTCAATGAGATTGCTGAGAACAAGGAGGACTATAACAAGTTCTACGAGGCTTTCTCAAAGAATTTGAAATTGGGTATCCATGAAGACAGTCAGAACAGAACTAAGTTGGCTGACCTACTCCGATACCACTCGACTAGGAGTGGTGATGAATTGACAAGTTTAAAGGACTATGTAACCAGGATGAAGGAGGGGCAGAAGGAGATCTACTACATTACTGGTGAGAGCAAGAAGGCAGTGGAGAACTCACCCTTCCTTGAGCGGCTGAAGAAGAAGGGCTATGAAGTTCTCTTCATGGTTGATGCTATTGATGAGTATGCAGTTGGACAACTGAAGGAGTATGATGGCAAGAAGCTGGTGTCTGCTACAAAGGAGGGTTTGAAGCTCGATGATGAGAGTGAGGAAGAGAAGAAGAAAAAGGAGGAGAAAAAGAAATCATTCGAGAACCTCTGCAAGACTATGAAGGACATCTTGGGAGATAAGGTTGAAAAGGTGGTTGTCTCTGATAGGATTGTGGACTCTCCATGCTGCTTGGTGACTGGAGAGTATGGCTGGAGCGCTAACATGGAGAGGATCATGAAGGCACAGGCTTTAAGGGATAGCAGCATGAGCTCTTACATGTCGAGCAAGAAGACTATGGAGATTAACCCTGACAATGGAATCATGGAAGAGCTAAGGAAGAGAGCTGAGGCTGACAAAAACGACAAGTCTGTCAAGGATCTTGTGTTGTTGCTCTTTGAGACTGCTCTTTTGACCTCTGGTTTCAGCCTTGATGAGCCCAACACATTTGCTGCAAGAATCCACAGGATGCTCAAGTTGGGTCTGAGCATTGATGAGGATGAGACTGCCGGTGAAGATGCCGACATGCCTGCTCTGGAGGAGGACGATGCGGAGGAGAGCAAGATGGAGGAGGTGGATTAATCTCCAAAAATTTGAACTTGTTAAAGGTGTCTGGTTTGAGGGAGAATCCATGTCTACCTTTACTTCTCTAATATTCTTGTGTTTCTGAGTTTTGTTGTTCAAAGATCTTAACAGTGTCCAATACATTTGCTTTCCCGTACCGTGTAATGATGGTGTCATAAATGCTAGTATTGGGTTTCTTAATTTCTTTGGATTTGTTGCTTATTCCTTTTCTGTTCTCTCTGCCAAACATGCCCATTCATAACTCCCCTCCAAATGAGTGAATTATGTACGAATGATGAATTCGACGTGTTCTAAGGAAGCATCTACTCAGAACAGTTCTGGTAAGTTAAATCAGCAAGTTTCTGTTTGCTTGCTTGCTCTGCTGCTCTTAGCATATTCCGTCTATATTTGGTATAGCAGTTGGGTACAGCCGTTGGGAAGTTTTTTTTGAGTTTCAAAAATTTTAATTGTACTAAACATTATAATTTGTGAAAAATGTTATAATTTTTTATAAGTTAATATTTTATTCATTATATTGCAAATCTCATAAGCATGGAAATGATATTTTTGTAGAAATTTTTTATTTGGTTTTCAATGAAATTAACATATTATTTTTATTTATTTATTTTTTATTTATAAAAATAGCACTTTTACAACCATTTTTTTCAAATAGAACTTTTATTAAAAACTTTAGTTCCATCAAACGGAGACTCAGTTTTCTCCTACGGAATGAATATGGATATCCAGTTTACGGGTTGAGAAAAAGAAGATGAGATTAAATAGTTTGTTTTAAAATATTTATTCATTTTGACATTTACAATTATTTGATTAAATGAATAAATTGAGTTGAAATTTTGGGCTCTTATTGAACTAGACTCTCACTCATTTTAAGGATTTCAAATTGATTTTTTTTTTTTCTCACTATTTTAACCACCAAGTTCCCAATGGCTGTTAAATGCATGAAACGTTGAGATATGACGTATGTTTGGTTTGAGAATGTTGCCAATTACATTACAATATTATTTATAAAAATTATAATTTAATTTGTAAAAAAATTCATTTTCCTTTTTTCTCCTCAGTCTTCTCAATCCAAACACCTTCTTTTGTTCTCTTCTCAATCCAAACAACTTCTTTTGTTCTCGTCAAATCGAACATCAAAGTCCTACCAACTAGAGATTAGTGGAGTATAGAAACTCTGGATTTCGAGTTCAATGAGGGTTCAAATTTCTGTTATAGAATATTGCCAGCAAAACCCAGAAAAGGATTTGTAGGGGAAAAAATTCTCTCTTCTTTATATTGATGTGAATTACACTTGCAGGCAAAACGGTGAATATCATTAGAATCAAGACTCGAGAGAATGAAAAAGAGAAACAGCAGTATAAGATCAAGATTGAGGAATGGCAGATTAAGCTGTTCTGAATGCTTATAACTTTCTAATCATCCTTTTTGCCTTCCCCATAAACCTAACACAGTCACTTCCATTATTTTTATTTTGGGAAAAAGAATTCTTTGAACAACACCCCTTCAACCTTCCAAAATATTAAAGTAATTTAGCTTTAATATTTATGACTAAAATTATGCTTGGTAAATTAGTTAAGCTTTACTGTGTTGCAAGGGTTAATGGTCAATTACCATGGGGGAATGGTAGACATCTCCAAACAAAATAGTTTACTAAGGAACATTGTCAGAGAGAAATTGGGGAGAATGGTTTACCAATCCAAACATAATAATATCAACGTCTAAAACGAGAAACAACGTATCCATAGAGCAAAATTGAACAACTAATCGGAATCCCTTTCCACAAACAGACAATCCCAAAAATAATCTTTAGACAATAACAAGCTTTCATATTGCACCTCATAGCTAACAGGCTGTTGTTGTAGGAAGGTCATGACATCAAAAAGTGATCAATGCCACCTCAAGGAAACCCTGAACCAGATGGAGCTCCACCATATCCTCCAGCACCACGACCAAAGCCAGGCCTTCCACCAGAACCCTGCCCATCCAGAGAGGAAAGCAATGAGGAAATGCAAATGACTATTAGGAACTTGTACTGAGCAACATGATGAGTGAAACAGATGTCCTTCAAATATTTTTACAGACTGTGATTGAAGGATTTATATAAAGGGGGAAGGTTGACCTATGCACAGATTGGTACCATGATTTTTTCATATATCTGAGACATGATAAGTTGTATGACGAGGCTGCTATATATTAGAACTAGAACTAATCCTTCTCAGCCAAAGTTTCATTGCAGTACAGCAAATTGAAAATACTCGAGCATACGAATAACACAATTTATCCCTTTGACAGCTTCTGTGTTTACTTGTTAAAATGCAAGAAAATGATATCCAGTTCACGAAGTTCTTGATGCAGACAAAATCAACTGTGGCAATGCAATATAAGTAACAAAGGGAATGCATATAACCAAAAAAAAAAAAGAAGGAGCAATCAATGGCACAGAATTTAAAATGGTGAGGCAGTATATAACAAACTGTGAACTAACCCTAAAAGAAGGCTGGAAATCTGCGGGGGCTCCTCCCTTTTCACCACCAAAATCACCTCCTCGGGGACCTCCACGGTATCCCTCTCTATCACCAAATCTTGGACGATCTCCTTCAAAACGAGGAGGGCCACTAGAATAACAAGCAAAGGACATTAAACACAAAAAAGGGGAAACAAAAAGAAGTACAAATGATTTATTGAGGTAAATTTGAAATTCTCAGAGATCAATAGGATGCATTACCGAGGGCGATCACCAGGTGGGCCACCAAATGGCCTACCAGGGGGTTTAGTTGATTTCTTCAAGGTAGCAGGAACAATTTCAGATGGAAGATTGAGGTATGTTCTCAAAAACTCAATCCCATCATTGGTAAGGTACCAGTAATAATGCATCCATGCAAATGTCTCCCGCACATATTCCTTCGACTTGAAGCTCTGCATCAGTTTAATCACCTGCAAGTTGGGCACATCGATCTCAGGGTGCTTTGCGAGATTGAAATCCTTCTTTGCATAGCAAACTCCCTCTGTAAATAGGAATTAATCAATAAGAACAGATAATAAAATACAAAAACTTTGAAACATTTGATTATCTGCTTTGTAACAATTTGGAAAGGAAAAAAGAAAAACAAATTTTCAGTCGGATAAAAGATCAAAACAAATTCTAAACACACGAAGAATCAGCAAGTTCTGCTCCATTTTCATGCTAAAAGACCAATGACATGACCAAACCTCACTAGAATGTTCCTTCCAGTTTTCAATTAGGTATAGATAGAATCAAGAAGCAAGATTCAAAATTTCCTCAGTTTTCTCGGGAACCAATCAGACCCATGTGAACAGTAAACAACATAAACTGACAGAAACAGAGCACAAGCACACGAAAATCAGAGAATATATGCACCTTGAAAGAGGTATTTCGAGATTTCTCTGCGGTTCTTCTCCGGAATAATCTGCGCAAAGTATTAAAGCAAGCTTCAAACATCTGCATACATACACACTCGAACATTACATCCACAGAAGTCAGAGAAGAACGTACCATGGTTGCTACGGGTTTAGATGCAGCCGCCGGCAATTCCTTCCCAAAAACCGCAGCTAGCACCAGCAGAAAAACAACTCTGAAACCCTACAAAGCGTTCGTGGTTATATAGAAGTTTCCATGGGCCGAGGTAAGGTGCCAATTGGGTACAATTGGACCTAGAAAAATTATGTTACGGGCCAATCGAATATTGGGCCGAAGGGTAATGCAGAAAATTTCAAAAGTCAATTTATACTGTGGAAGTTGCTAGAAAAACAGTATGTCTTACCATTAATAATATCAAAATATTACAACATTAGAACATAATGTAGGGGCTATTTAAATTTTATTTATTGTCTTTAGAATTAATCGTTTCAGGTTAAAAATAAAAATATCGGGATGTAATTTTCAGTTTTATGTATTCCCAATTCTGTTACCAAAACACCTTTCCCTTAGCTTTGGGGTGTGTATCATATGGTCTACGCATACACGTAAATTAAATGATATATATGAAATTTTATATAATTTTAAATTCAGTTTTAGAGTTGTAATGTATTATGTTTTTATAGTATTTATTATTGTTTAAAAAATTTAACCCCTTAAGTGGAGTCCTCTCCTCTAATTGTAAGATGTTTATCTCACATCATATCGTTATATAAAATTTCATGCAATTTTAAACTCGATTTTGAAGTTGTAGTGTGTTAACGTTGCCATGTTCCTGTTGTGTGTAACACATTGTCCATATGCGCATAGTCTAAACTTAATTTTGGAATTATGATGTATTCTATTTGTGTACCATTAGATTATTAATGTGTATAAAATATTTTAATATAAATCTAGATTCAAGTTTTTATTTAGATAATTATAGTATTTCTTTCCTTTTTCAAATTTTTTTTTAGTCCAAAAATGAAAACATTTTGTTACCATAACGTCAACCATTATTGTGGTCCAATAACCACAATTTTTCTAAAAAAATGTGATGGCAATTAAAAAATAGAGATTCAATCTTTAGTAGTCGCATTTCTCATCTCCTAATTATACTAATAAAAAAAAAATTCCTGTTACCAGAACGAGAATACAGAGACAGGCATGCAGAAAACAAAACAGGATATATCCCCCTATTTATTCTCTGCTACACTGGCCCTGCAGGCCTGGCGAATAGCGATAACGCACTAACCTGCCCCTTCTACGCAGCTTTCCTTTATTTTCTCACTCTTTCTCTGCTCCCAAACACTTGCTGCACTCCGAAAACCTTCGCAATTTGATCGCCAACTTTTCTTAGGAAAATGTTTCTTGGAGAAATTACAGGTTCTGCTAGCTGTAGAGAGTCGTCTTGATTGTCATTCTGTTCATTTTGTTGTGTAGCAACTTAGAGTGTGTATTTCAGTGATCACACCAGTCATTGTCTGTAAAGATCGTAGATCGTTAGGTTTTGGTGTATATAAACACGTAATCGCCGCGTACTTGCATTTTCCGGTGATCGGAGGCGTCTTTGGTGTTGAGAGTTTGTTGTTGCGAGCAAGCCGAGTCTTGATTTTGTCTGTAGTGTCATATTCTCGGGAAAATGAGAGCAAAAAATGAGGATCTGTGTTTGGCGGCAAAGACGACACCGGACGATCATTATGTAGGATTTTGCAAGTAACTAAATCATCCTTCTCTCGCTGCACCATGTTCTGCTGGTTTATTTTTTGTTTTAGTAAATGCTACATTTTGGAGACGTATTTCTTGCCAACAAAAGAGGAAAAAATGAAATTTATGAATCCTGCTTCTTCTTTATGCTTTTGAATCTAAAAAGCAAAGTGAAAGATTTGGAGGAAATTGGTTTTTCTGTGGTGTAACCGTGTAAAAGGTCGAAGAGATATAGGATTAACGATATTTATGTTTTTATTGTTTCTTACATTTTCTTAGCAACCAAACAAGGCATCATCATTTGTTTTGATGGATAATAATTTCTTTCATGTTGATTTGATGTAAAGAGAGTTGAGGATTTCGTACACGAGAGATTTTCTCATTTCGTTGGCTGAGTTGGATATATGTAGAGAGCTACCAAGGGGATTTGACAATTCAATTTTGCGGTAAGATTCTGGTTTTCAATGCTTGGCTTTATTAGTAATTTGTAATGGTATTCTGTTATAACCTTGATTGTTGATTCTGAAGCTTCTAATTTGATTCTTGACATTTTTCAAACAGAGAACTTGTTGATCGTTCAACTAATTTTTCTCGGCCTTGTAATGATTCAGGTTAGCTAAATTCTTTATTATGAAAAGAAAGAACGTGGACATTGTGATTTTCATATTCTGCTCGCACTCTTTAGCTGTTAGTTTTTAGCAAAATTCAGCTGCAGACTAATATGTTTCCTTTCTCATCACCTTAGTAAAATTAAGAGCAAAAACATGTTTTTCCGCTAGCAATAGGAATAGAAGAAGAAAAAGTCAGTTGAGATGATTTGTCCTGCTCAGAAAATTGTAGGGACAGCATTTACAAGGTTTCTAGTAGGGAGAAAGGGGAAACAAAAAAATGGGATTAATATTTCATTAGGCTTTGTTGGATGTATGGTGGTAATAAACTCTTGATTTTAGAATTACATGTTTCTGCCACAACCTGAATTAGAAATTTTTCATAGTTCCAACAATTGATGCTTATTAGTGGCTGATTTAAAAGAAAAAAAATGATGTTTTATAGAAAATACTAAGCTTAACTTTTTGCCATTGTAAACTACAGATGGGAAATTAACCACTGATCATCAGATACCAAATGCATGCTTATAATAGTTATGTTCATCCATTAATGCAGTTTTTTGTGAATCTAGCTTGTTTCCCTAATTCACTTTGCACATGGTGAGATGGTTAAGGTTTGTTAATGGTTATATACTTGAAATGTTAACTTGCCTTCTCCACACACTCTTAATAGGTGATGCATTGTCCTCCTTGACCATCTATGTTTCATTTTTGCTTTCTTTCCTTCTTCCTTTTTCTTTATCCCATTTTTATTTGAATAGAATGTGCACATCTTATTGACGAAAGTAATTAATTGTTGATTTAGAAAGAATAAGGTGTGTGATCAGTTACGGTTTGCCCAAGTTACATCCAAATTTTATCCATTTCAGTCTTCCAAATAAATAGTGTACTAGTGGTGATGGTTTACCAAGGTAATTCCATTTTGCCAATCCTACCATATTATATTGTAGAAGGAATATACTTGGGGCGCTCGGCAAATTGGATATGAAGTTTCCTTTTGTGAAGCTTTTGTCTGTACAGTAAGCCAGGAGGTTAAGATTCCTCTGGTAATTGGCCAAAAAAAAAAAAAAGATTCCTCTGGTGGTAGTATTGTTGCCTGCCCTCTTCCGTAAGGTTTGACATACTGTGTTTCCTTTCCCCTTTCCCCTTTTAATATTTTTTAGTTGTTTTTTTGACTTGCTCATTCAAACATGAAGTAGATAAAATATCATAATTCCTCATGTAACTCTGGATCAGAGTCTTGTAAATGGCTACCAAGTGGAAGTTGAGGCTACATCAAGTTTTTGAGTCTTGTTGAATTGTATGCAGAACCTGGAAGATTTGGGGGCAATCCAGGTCCTCTATTGCAAAATCCTGAACATGGACTTTTGGGAAGTGGTACTTTTCCAAGAATCTCTAGATATTCGGATGGAACTTCATCTCCCTTACTCCAAGGATGTGGTTTCCACCTGCTTAACAGGAGTTCTGAGCCATACAGACCCCCTCACCTCTGTAAGGTATGGTTAAGCTTTGTATTTTCATTTCCAAACCAATATAGCATTATTTTAAACTGTTTTTCTGTGTCTATAAGTCTGAAGATTGTTGTATATGCTCCTTTTCCCTTTTTTTGTTCCTTTTTTTTCTTTTTTTGGTTTTGGTCCAGAAAATAAGGCATAGATTTAAGGAAAAGTTATTTGAAAGGAATCTGATTAAATACCATTTTTTGTAACTTCAGGCAAAACCTCCTAGGAGAGAGAGTAATGACCAGTATAATGATGAAACTTTTGGTTCTTCTGAGAATTTGAGTCAAGAAAGAGTGGATGAAGAAAGAAGGAGAAGAGGTGAATTTATTTCCCATGCTCTACCTTATAGTGTTTTGTGTTGCTTTTACATTCCTTCTGTTGCAGTTTTCACCAGTTAGTTTTGCTGAGGGCAGTCAATGAATAACATCCTTTGCACAGATTCATTTGATTTGATGAGGAAAGAACAAGAAAGGGCTATTCAAGAAAAGAAAAGAATAATTTCTGGTGAGCATGAAGAAAGTATAAACCCAGAAACCACCATTTTCCTGGAGGATGCTGGAGGTGATGCGAGACTCACAAACAAGTACTGTAATTTAAAAGAATTTGAGCTGTCCCTTGCTCCAAACAGTGACACGGAGGGTTGCAAAACCACTTGGATTACTTCATCCACACAGATTCTCCCAGGTTTTACCAGCAAATCTCTTGAGTATGATCTTAACTCGAGTTCCACAAGCCATCCCTCCATACAACATGAGGTAATGGCTGGTACTCTACTGGTTATGATCATTTTCAGAAAGAGATACTATTTGTACTTTCCTGATTCAAGCCACTCAACTTCATTTTCAAAAGAGCCTTAGGATTCATCTAATTATAAATATGGAAATGATATAGAACTAGAAAAGTGATAATGTAACAGAAGTGCAACAACAATAAAATAAAGCATGCTCCTGTTTGCATAATGCTATGTAATTCCAAATTTTCTTTTACCTTGTGGAACCCATTATTTAATTTTTAAATATTCAGACTTTTTTCTTATTGTATGTCATTCATTCGCATTCCTCAAGGAATGAAATTTTTGGTGTCAACAACTTTACAGTTTCCAACCGATAATTTATAAATCTAACACCTATTTGTTTCATTGCCTTTCCAGCTTTCTGATGTCAAGGAAGATCATGCCAAGAATCATGCATCACATTCTTGTGATTTATCTCATGAAGAAGGTATATTCAAATGAAAGAAATTTGCTGAGTTTTTCCTTGCATAGAAAATTTTCTCCCGAGCTTTTGTTTTCTGGCTTTATTTTCCTATATTTGATCTCTGGACTTATGTGGCTGTAATAAAGCAGGAATTATCACTGAAGAATCTATTCTTTCTGAGCATAATGGACAGTATTCAGCACAGATTCACTCTCCGACAGACTGGGATTCCTATCCCAGAGAAGACTCACAGTCAGGTTCTTTCAAAACTCATGCTGCTTCCCAGTGCCTTATTTCTTTTCCACAAAAAAGGATGGGCTTGTCTGAAGTGGCAGGGTCCTTGAAGCTAAGAAACGAGTCCTCAGATGAATTTTATGTTTCTGAAACTGGAAATGACAGTGGCCATCTTAATATTGTGAACGAAGGACACACAAGGAGTTTTGAGAAAGTTCCTTTTTCACCTATTATAGGGAGGATGGTTCTTCCAAAGAATTTGACAGAATCATCATCGATCCAAAGAGCTCAGAGGTATAGTGTTACAAGGAATGATATCTTAGCACCTTTTGTATCTCCACTTCTGACTGAGGATAAATATATGACTCTTTCAAGAATCAATGAACCTTCAGTTGAGACCAATTTTGAAGGAACCATGTACCCAGCCTTCATTAAGCCGGCTGACTTAAGTAAAACTGAAGGTGGTCAGTCTGTCTGTGACACTAAGGCTAGACAGGAATTGGATCTTTGGAATGAGTCAGCATCAAAGCACAGTCCTATCAGTGATTCAGCCGAGTTTGATAATATTTGTCTACCTGATGAGGACAGCTTGATTAGAGTTGATGACACTGTATTTCCATGGGAACCCTTAACTGAGGATACCTCAGGTTCACCAGTTGCTATTGCTGAGGAGCAAGCAGTTTTTGGCGTCACTCTCAGTGACAATAGAACTCAAGATCTAGCAAGCTTGAATACTTCTTTTCAGAATTTCTGCATCCAGCAATCCTATCCACAGGTCTGCCATCCTCGGTTGAATCCAGGGAATGCATATTTCCATCATCTCAGTTCTCAACAAGTGCAACAGAATTCCAAAAACAAGGTCCCCAATTTAAGACCCTATCGCTGGAAGCCGCACTATCGCCAGTCTTTCCCCCCAGCTCTGCATTTTGATCCCATCCAGTGTGCATACCCTACTGCACCAACACTCCATTCTGTTAACCATCCTCTAAAAACAGAGATGCCCATTCCAGGTGAATTTCATCCTTACCAATATGGATTGCCAAAAGGTGTATCTGCTCCTAACAAGGTAGCTTTTCATGCAAACGAGTCAATGCTTTACTCTCTACAAAATTATCACCAACATCACTACATGGACCTTGAAATGCCATTTACAGGTTGAGCGCATTAACTACATTTTTCTTTAAACTACTTGGTTTCTATCATCCGGTGGGAGCTGAATTTATAAAAACACTAACTCTGTTGTTGTTATATTATGGTGTTCTTCAGATCACATTGTTGGCTTGAACAGTAATCAACCTGCTATCTCTGAATTGTTTGAGATGGATTTGGCTGCAAGGCAGGCGCACCCTCATCTTTCCAAGGCTGGTGATTTTTCAGGAATGTTTGGCAACCATGTTTACATGCAATTTTAGTGTAGATGATAGGCAAGAAGATGACATGACTCAAAATGCTGTAGATATGGCCTTCTTTTATCACATCAATAGGTGTTGTTAAAGGAAAAATGTCTAGGAATAGGATCACGGCACACCTTGGCATTAGCATCTGGTCAAAGAAAGGAAAAATGAAGAGAAACATGTTTAAAGATTTTTACCCAAAAAATTGTTATGAAGATCTCATAGAAAGATACTTCCTTGGACTTTCTTCCAGTTGCTTACGATTCTGTAGGGCCTCGGAGGAATGGAGATTTGTCCAAACCTCTTCACTAGATGTTGCATGCACAGAACTTTGGATATCATCGAATGGTGTTAAGAATTGTCACAGATGATCGCTTGATATCAAGAGTCATTTATCACCATAGTTATATATATAGCCAGCAGCCCGGGAGAGCCCTCTCCGCAGCTGTGATGAAGGGGAGAGGATGACAGCTTAACACCCTAATAAAGGCCCGTTTTATAAATTTTATCTGTATACAAGTGCCAAAATGGCTATATAGTGCACACATAAAGCACAATGCTCACAAAAACAACATGACTTGGTAATTAAACCGCACAAAACCTGGTTAGCAAAATACTAGCAGTATACAAGATGGCCTCTATAAATGACTAAATCCGCTGTACACTCACATATGTTGCTCTTCATCAGTATTCCCCCCTACCTTCTGTAGGTTGTCTTCTTTCTTGACTTTCCTCTCCTACATTATTTACATGACAACAGAAAGGGAAGATTTATTTTTGAATTGTAAAACGGATCAGATCAGCACTTGAACATTGCCATTTCGCTGCACACATTTTGAGTTGGTAGTCAGCACCATTCACTGGAGATAAAAAGGGGATGAAAAGATAGACGAGCCTGGCTGATGCAACTGCACATTGCCATCTCGCTGCACACATTTTGAGTTGGTAGTCAGCACCATTCACTGGAGAAAAAAAGGGGATAAAAAGATAGACGAGCATGGCTGACTAAATGCACATCACCTTACCTATCAGAATTTAGACATAACTTTTGGCTGGAAGTTACTATTTATATCACCGTGATTGGTTGTCTGTGGCTCAATCTCATAGGATGAAAGCAACCTTCTCTGCATCACATTCATAAACAGACTAATAAAGTTGTAAATGATAATAATAACTTCATGAGTTATAAAGAAAAAAGAACAACAAAATCCTGCACAGAAATACATGAGAAAAGAATCATAAACCCACCGAACTCCAAAGTCAAAGTCGGAAGGAATTGAACCTTTGACTTGGAATTATTGGAGTGTGGATATTGTATATTACTAAAAAGAGTTAACCATCAAGTCAGAAGGAATGTAGTAATCTTCATCAAAATCACATGCGCAAATTGGAGAAATCTCATCAAAAATTGCCAGGCACAAAAATCATTTTACTGGACCAATTTCATTTCTTGAACTTTTTGATTTAAATAACACAACTGATTACTTAAGTAGTCTGAGTACTCAATCCATACAAGGAAAATATAGAAAAACAAAGTGAAGAGAGCTTTGTAATACAGAACTTACATGATCCTCGAAGTCAGGACTCATCAGATTTATAGAGAGGTTTCTCATCAACAGCAGCACCTAGCAAAGATCAAGCAATTTTACTAAACTTTAAACAGAAAGATTATAAGCAAATATGCAACATATGAACCAAGATTGAGCAAAATGACATAAACTTAATGTGGCAACATACTGATTCAACATCTATGGAGTCCATTTTTTTAAGTTTCTGCAGATGGCCAGTAACATTTGGATCAAAGACACTGCCAATGAAACTGTATACTTCAGCAAAATCAGGCAAAACTGCATCAAGAAGAGAAGAATTTTAACTGCTACTATAAAGTAATGAGGAAATATAATTCAGATGAGGAAAAAAAGGGCGGGCGAGGGGGGGGGGGGAATTCTATCAGCAGAAAATCAAAATTTTGAGTCTGACCTCTTGGTCGATGACCATTATTTCCCTGCTCGGTAGTTTTAGTTTCCCCAATTTGTTGTGTTTTTAGGGTACTCTCAATGCTACTAGAAGAGTTATTTGCTGCTGGCCCTACAAAACCCAAATCAAATGGAGATGAACAAAAAAAAAAATGTTGTTATTTCTTAGGTGGGAACAATGCTATAAATGAATTAAACCTTGATGATATTAGAGTAGGGAAAAACTAAGGAACCTTTTGGATGTGAGAAACTAATGGTTTGCTTGTTCTTTGTCCAGGAAGATGCAGCAGAACTAGTAATAGGGTTCATAAACATTGTTGAGGATTCAGGCCCTGGAACATTTCCACTATCAAATGGGGCAGCTGATGACTGAAATGACGCTGATAATTGTGGTTTGGTTTGAGCTGCCAGATATACATATGGTAACAAGATTATCACGTTAAGTACGCAATGAGACATATACTAACACTTAAGTGTACTAACCATTTTTTGAGGCTTTTTGAGGATATGGATGAGCAGCTTTTCTTTTAGGTCTAGGTGGAGGTAGATGTTCAGTTGTTCCATTCTTCTGAACCTTTAGGAAATACTTCTGTGCATGACTACGTATCTGCAAAAATTGTGCTCAGTTTCAGGTGATTCTCATAGTCAACAGCTTTCACCAATATTCTCTAGAACAATATCAAACATGGGAACTACGTTGTTGCTTGATCATCACACTTAATATAAAGCCATCACCTTCTTAGTGAAACAACAGAAAGATGATTAAGAATGCATCAGGGCATAGTACACAATGTTCAAAGGTACAAGATTAACAAAAACCTTCTTCAATACCCTTATCAACCCAAATTAATCCCTATTTCTCAAACACCTACACCAAAACTGCCTAAGGCAAAAATAATTGCATTTTAGCATACTGCATACCTGAATGACAGTCTTTGACCCAACAAATGCTTCAATCTTTTTCCAGTCACGATCAAAGCTGAAAATTTATCAGAACAAAGCAAAATTAACAAGTGGAAAGCATATGTAAGAAGTAGTCACCGCTTAAAGGATGCAGGGCAAATGGTTGGTGGATTAGAAATGGTTGTGTCATGAGGCATAGTGATTTAAAATGGGAATTGGTTAAATTTTAAGTCATTAGACGTTTATTAAGCCACACGTTTGATCTTTCTTCTTTTATTTTCAGGATTTCCAACTTTACATCAAGAAAAATGCAGACAAACTTGAAAAAAACCTCAAATTCAACAGCTTGAAATTCAATTAGAAAACCCTATTTCAAATCATAATCAAAACAATTCATTTAAAAAGTGGAGAGATGTTGTGTTTACAGCTGAAGAGCCTCAAGGAACTTGTCATGTTCCGGTTCAGTCCAGCTCTCTCTGGACTTGGTGATGATGTAGGGCTTTCGGATCCTCGTATTCCCGTCCTCGGAAGACGACACGGCGGAAACCGCCACCGCCGCAGCTGCAGTGGCGAAGGGTCCAAGTCCGGGCAACGCCATTCCCGATGGGTCCAGGAAAAATCCCTCAGCCGGGTTCGGATTATTTGATACCATTTTGATGGGGTTTTAGCTTTGAGAGCACGAAGGAATTGGGGCGTTTGCGTTACCATTTAAAGTACTCCGTTAAGGATTCAATTCAATGCTGCTTTTTTCCTACGATGTATTTTTCAATGACCAATAACAATGTGCCACCTGGAAGGATATTTGATAAATATATAGGAAAAAAATCGTTGTGTAGTGGTGATAATTAAGCCGCGCTACGAAGGATCCTTTCTCCACCCAATGGTATACGCTTAACACTTAGATATATTATATATTATAAAATAGGATTTTAATGAGTATATATATATATATTTATATATAGAGACGCTTGATCCTTCGAGTTAGTGACATCAAATCATATTTAAATGTAT